CTGATGTGGCTACGGATGACAAAGTAGAGTTCAAAGCGTACTCTTTCTTTAGACTTGACTCGGTGTGCACGGTTACCAAAAAATTTGTATACTTGAAGGGCCAGCGTCCCTCCAAACATCATCCGAATGGGATGAAGAAAGGACGCCATTGACTATTCCTTATCAGAACAGTGTCTGTCGCAATGCATATGTCTGAGATTTGTATAGTACATGAATGCGATTACGCTTGCTGAATGAAGGGCGGGGTGAGTCTGATGAACTGCGGTTTCAAAGATCTGGTTGTTTTTTGATGGCTTCCATCTTTCAGAGCTGCCTGGACCAGATCGGCTTATGACGCCCTGCCTATTTTTAGCACAAATAGAATACACACAGGTAGTGCACCGTTATATACACATGGTATGCTTACCTATTTCAGTTCTAATGGCAGTTTATGGAGGAGGCGGTGGTCTAAACAAATACCAAGGCGGAGATGAGTGTGGATATAGAGGCGGAAGTAGTGGCCAAGGTGGATACGGATGCCATAAACGGTTATGGACGGAGCCCTTACGGCGGCAAGGGATCCGGAGATGACGGTAGAGGTTTCGGGGGTGGAAGTTCTCCGTTTCGATACTCAGGTAAAGAGACACATGTGAAGAGTTTCCAATACTGAATAAAGAGGAAACAATCAACCCTGTTATCATTGATAATGAAGAAAAAATCATGATGTACTATATATACTAAAGAAATTGAAGATAATCAGAAGCCTTCCGCTGGAAGGTTCTAAAAGTGTATATTGACTAGTAAATAAATGCTATTTTATTTTGAGTAAAATAGCCATTGCAGGGGATGCTACATGGGACAAAATCTTGGAATCCGATCTCAATGGCTATGTACGTACTTCCTATATTCTCTAAACATGTCATATTAAAAGTCTTGAATGTTTTTATGCACTTTCACCATAAACCGTCTGCGTAGTACCAACCGATTAAAATTATGAATGCATGCGAACGAATGCGCCTAGCACAAACACCTGAAACAAGATAACGCTCTGAAATCTGTGTTACAACGAAGACAATTTACTTCAGTTTTTTTTTATAGTGTTCCCGCAGATGGAGCTGTCTAGTGGCCATCTGCATGACGGTTAACCCGCTAAATCTGGGAGACACGTGGTGGTGTGGGTTCCAATCCAGCAGTGGACATAGTTCGTTTCGAACCTGGCTGTCTGCTGAAATATCGAACTATAATAGTATTGAATCTGTCACTCAAAACATGTTGCGGCCCTTGTATCCTTCTCATACTAGTCAATGCCGAAGTGATTTGCGACGCCCTTCTAAATAGACAACTGAGCTTACCTTTAATGGCCTGAGGATTTAAAGCTTAGTGATGGTGCTATAGTAGCGTGTTTGCTATACTTTGGAAAAAGTAACATGGTCGCGTAAAAAGTAAACCGGACGTAGACACACGGCTCGTCCCATATTGGAAGAGATGAGCCGTCAGAAATGATACTTAACGGGAATACTGGATGTAGAAGGATAAGAGATAATTATTTAGGTATCTAAACTTTCTACATTAACCTTTTTTTAATAAACTTTATTCTAAAACGCTTTCTAGTAACCGCTAATAACGCTGATTCCGTTTTCTTTCAGATCAGGCACAATTGTTGCCCAAACCGAAACACAGAGTTTGAATTTTCAAGTCTGATTTAACCGGACTCTTAACAATTTTAACTAATTGACTTTCAAGCTACGAGAAGCATTGATTGCTTAATTGACATAGAGAATCGGGAGACACGTGGATAATATTTACGATACAAAAATGCACATACGATACAAAATCCTCATTATTGGAAAGCTACAGTTCGAAGTATACAGATGTTTGTGCCCTGAATATTTTTCATCGGGCCTTAAATGAGCAGTCTGACTCAAACTTATCCACTCTAGAGACGATGGCAGTACATTGGTGCTACGTGGGTAAGATTTCGAATCGAATTGAGTTTCGGTAGCAGCTCAATTCATGTACCGTAGTAGATTAGTAGGTAATGTATTTCCCTGGAAATCTCAAGGACAGGTTGTAGTCAAGATTTGCACCCAGGCATAGACAGACTTCGGTCCGTGTTGAGAGCCAATTAATCGTCTGATGGAATGCCTAACGGCGATACAGAACGTAAAACACGAAATAATCTTACTCTATTTTACCTCACATGTCCTGTGGTATATGAACAGATTAACTAATATGTACATATTCTTTTATAAAATTGATTAAAATAAATTAATTAAAGGTTAATAAAATAGAGATAAATAGTGGAAACGATTCATTCATGAAGTGTATTCATTATAAAATTTAATTAAGGAAATTTGAAATAAGAAAACTTCAGAGCTCCATAATCTTTCGGGCATCGCCATTGTTTTTTCCCGGCGAGTTGCCCATTTGTTGCGGGCTTGTTTCTGTCTTTAGATTACACCATTAACAAATCCTCATACTGCCACGTCAGAGGTACCACAATCGTTCTAGACCCGAAGAAAATACGAAATAGGTAAATCCTTAAGTTAGAAAAAGTTCCTTTTGTTTTTTTGAGACCCTTCAATTTATTTATATAAGTGCACTTGTTTTAGTCAAACGTATGTTCTTGGCTTTCTGGTGTTTGTACCCACTTTTTTAATCAAAATTTTTCTTCCTTTAAAATCTTTCTTAGCGCATGTGAATCTGGCGATCACTTGGCTTTACTTTCATGGATTTTAGCTGTGCAGAGCGCTCTAGGGCTGACTGCGCTACATTTTCCTTAAAGGGTCACTGCAATTCATCGTCGTTCATTTCTAGTGGCCGTTTGGAGCGTGGTTTGTCCTTCAAGTCGAAATCTTCTGTTCTGAAGCGATTGAACCAAAACTGGAAAATAGTAATACTTACTGCACATTCGCCTTCAAGTCTGCAAACAATTATTTTTGTCTCGACGATAGTTTTCTGGCAAAAACAGTGAAGAAGGCAATGTCAGACAGGTATTTTTTCGTGCACCTGCACTTAACGTACCGAACCACCACTTCTAACAACAACAGCTTAGTAAGAACTGGACACACCTTCGACACTCAAAGCAATTATCTTGGGAAACCCAGCTGGATACAACAAGCGGATCCGACCACCTGTTGTTTTTAATTTATTATATTAAATCAGTGGTATGTGGTCACCACGCACGGAAGACAAGGAACGACACCTTTTGAAGTCGAATACGGTTTCACAGTACATGACCTTTTTTGAAACATTGCATACATGGACTCTTATTTGCCAAAAAAAAAATTCATTATTTTAGTACTCTTCAAATGACCTAACTATCTTTTTATAGAGCTAATTAAATTCCAGATTAATGAATCATAATTGCAAAAACGAGCCTATCTATATGAATGTTTAAAGGTAGAAGAAAACTCTCTATATACGTTTTTTTATTTTTAATATAGTTCAGCAATATTTCTCACTCCTTATTTATTTTTTATGTGAATTTATGTTTTTGTTTTCATTGGTGACACTGTGAGGCTTAGAGTTAATGTACAGGTTTTTGGCGAGCATATGGTACTGAGTCAGAATTTCAGGGCACTTATTCCGAGCATTAGATTAATAGATTTAATAGTAATAACGCAGAACCATGTACATTTCATATAATGAGAAATTTTAGATTTGATAAGAAAAATCAACTATGAGAAAACTGTTATCTCTTATATTTCAGATGCATCTACGGAGCGCAGTTATCGATGATTAAAATCATCACAAAAAATGACAATACGAAACGGCTAATTTTCACTGTGCACTGTGATTTCTTTGAGACGATTCCTAAATAGTCAAAACCTGTTGAACATGATGATCCCAATAATAACCCATTGGTAACCGAAATTCTATTAAGGTTGCCATGAATAATGGATATGAATGAATTGTCCAATCTTGTTAAACATTTCGCTCAAATTTACCATTTTCGGTCACTTTCATAGTCTACAAGCGTCATCTTCTTTCCTTAAGACTTTCAAAGTCTAAAATCTAAAAAAAAAAATCTAAATCTAAAAAACATTTTTTTAGATGTATGTATTGATAAAATACATACATCTAAAAAAAATACCTACCGAAAAACCAATTTCGAGATAAGGACTATATTAGAGTTTTACAAGCTCAAAACAATCATAGTAAATTTTATGGCAGATACATGAACCCATTTTATTGGAGAAACTTCTGGCTTGTGCGGTTGCTGTAACTTGACAGTAAGAGTGTCCTTTACTCATGAGCCCCTCGAACGTAACGTGTAAATTCAAAAATAAATGATATAAATTTTTAAATGCTTTATTTCTAGAGCGACCCTATAAATGAACATATTCTAATCATTTTTAATTTTATGTAAATTAAGTGCATGACACTGGTATTAACCCTCGAAGTGTACATGCACACTTGTAGAGTTTCTCTCCGTCTTAGTTTACCATATCAGCAAGCTACAAGCAACAACATCGAACTCTTAGCCTCAGCTTACCAAGGTACCCAAATATAGACATTATAGTACATTGAAAGAAACGCCAGTATCACCTACGACTTCGAGCTTCTCTATACGACTAAGTGCACCAAATAATTAAGTTGATAGTTATGTCCTGACACTGCAGACATAACAAGATATGAGGTTTAACCATTTTATAAAATGACAATTTCTTTTTTTTTTTTTTTTTTTTGCTAGGTACTTATTCATTAGGTAAATTATTCACTTTTGTTTGAGTCATTTGCCTTTTACTGTGCTAACAAAAACAAAAATAGATTTGCATAATTAAGACATTTTTTTCCCTCTAGCTTTCGTTTAATTATTATTAGTTAGTTCGTACTACTCTAACCCCATCATTATCTTCAAAATGTGTTTGCAATTCTGCAATCTTCTCCGTCAAAAACGTGCAAAAAACAAATTCCACTACCGTTTGTATTTGGTTACCCGTCGCCTAACGCCTGGAGACATCTAATTCTCGGAATAGTCTGACTAGTTCCATTCATAGGGTTCTTTGGCTACCGAATTGTTATTGCGTTTCCCTGTCTGCCTGGTCCCCAATACCGGCAACTCATTCATATTATTCTACCGTACACGAACGAAACAGAAGAGACAAGTTGTTTACTGCTGCGTACTGCGCTACCGGGTGTTTCTCTCGGTGTGAGGGCAGAAAAAGCAGGTTTTTCTTAGTAGTTGCCGTGTAGCGGCGATCTTTTTTTCGTGCTAAATCTTTGTTTGCATTTGTTATTCGTGTCCTGGAGCTTGTTCCCTGCAGACGGCCAGCCAAATTTTAGTGTGCATCGTAATTGAAGGAACAGCAATTCTGCCAACGCTGACTTTGCATGCCACCCACAGGTACAGATTGTGGCGCGTCCTGTGTCGAAACTGCTAAGCCTGTGATTACTCCTGCAGCTGCTCCTGCCGCTGTTGAAGTCGCACAAACTGCTGTCGCCGAAGTCACGATGAACGTCTCGTACGAAACGCTCGCAACGCTAGCGGTTCGCACCCCCACAGCCGGCGATCGCATCTACAAAGACGAGTGCGCTTATTCGTTCACGAGCCCCGAATCCGAAGATGGTCTTTACGTGTCGCTGTTTTCGTTTCTTGGCTTCTCGAAACAGCACGCGCTAGAGTACGCGGCCAAGACCAGGCACAAGGTCGTAGCTAACGAAGTGTCTTGTCTCATGGGTAGATCATAGTTATTGTAACCTAACATGAGAGGTGCGTGATCCTACTATAGTTCGCTGGGAGCCAGCCTAACGGCGGTATTGAACCTAACACTCGAAAGAGTTTGTCATCATAACCTATTATTATTGTTGGTGCTTTTGCTACTGTAATTCAAATTAGTAGTAACATACTCATAGCTGTTGCGCTATTGTGAAATCATTGATGCGTCTGATTGCGTTCAAGTTGAGCAATTTGAGACGACGGCCTGGAAACGTATTCCATTTGTTTGGCTTCGTCGAGTTCCACTAGTAAATTGTCTGTCGCCAGGTCGTAGGTCTATTTTTATTCCGTATTAAATGACGTGAGTTCGGTCCGCGGCGTAAGGGCGGCAGGGCGCTTGAAAATAGGTTCCCTTCCCCTTTCGACGGCGAGTTAGCGTTCTCGCCACTCGCTTAAAACCATATGTCAACTCAGCAGATTGTAGTAGTATGATTTGGAGCTGCTCTCATAAAAGGAGCTTTGATAACGATAGCGGAAGGCGGTTGGCTTCGAACTTACTCTACTGGAAAAAATCACAACGCTAGCAATGTGTTAAATTAAGTTAGAGTTGCTTGATGGTGAAAATCGAATTGCCAGAGATTAAATTGGTTCTACTATTTTTATAAGAGAGAAATAATAGATTCCCATTTGTTTATCATCTTAATAATTGCGCTAAAAATAATTATGCTGGTAGCGTGTGCAACGATACGGAAGTAGGCAAACAAACGTAGCATGTTCGTTTACGAAATCAAACGGTTCATGGGTATAAAGCCATTGACTCGTCGGTATGAACGCCTTAAAAATAAGGACAAGTTCCTAGACGAACGGCTCTGACTAACGGTCTGCAAGTGGTTGCTTGGATATCTTAGCCAAGTGGATTAGTAAATACTATTCACTAGCACCGCATGCGGTAGCCGTATAAAATTCTAGATACTAAATTCTGAAGACTTTGTCCTGCGTAAATACTAAACACTACGTTACAGTGATATCCCTACGTATCGTGTGCATTTCAAATTCAATTAACTTTCAAACGTCTTTCATTATTCGCATATTGGGCTGCTGAGAAGTACTGGTCGTATTTAAACCGAAATTTAAGCGAACGTATTCTATATTTCAAAATAGTATATATATATATATATATATATATATTTAGTCTATTAAAATTAAATATACGCCGCTTTAATATATAATTTTTTGCAATTTTTTTTATAATTCCCTAATCCCATCACTGTAAAACCTTGATTTCCGGACGAAAAATTTGCACGCTCATCGTGCAGAGGTCGAAACACATGGCCGCCTGATCGTGCATGATCTGGACTAAACGGCAAGTGCATTAAAATTGTCCATCCACGGTCTATGTGGTCGTACTGGAATAAGCCTATGCTGTTCTTTTTATAATGTTGTTATTTGTTGGTAGTCGAAATCCGAATGAATCGTTTTATCAGGCGACAATAACAGTGATGCACGACCCAACAAATACTTAATAGCAATACCTTCTTTGGCATCAGTGCGAGGTGGCCACAGAGATTGTGGAGTTACGGTCGTAAATGATTATTTTTTAAACACCCGTGATCAACCGATTTAAATATGGCTCGATTTCGACCTGCTCCGGTAGGGAGAAGCAGCAAATATTTTCACGTGAATTTTTCCTAGCAGTGAAACATTTTTTTTTGTATCCACCTTTTTTTCTAGTTGATTAAAACTAGGCGGTGGACGCTTAATTTTCTAGCGGTATACTGGTTATTCACATGTCGGTTTCGCATAATTCTGGCAATAAATTGGTGGTTGGTCGGCCGATGCGAGCAGAAGCAATAAAATCACCCATGGCTCGATTCTCTCGCTAACCGATTTAGACATAAACAACAAATTTTTTATGGGCATGGACAGCGCTTGTGTAATATTGAGCTGTAAGTTTTACAGAACTTACATTTTTAGGACATCCTTAAAATAGAGTAAAAAAAATACGTTCCAAACGTTTTACTACTGTCAAATCTTGGTTTTTAAATGACACCAGCGCCACAAATATTACCCGAAATATGCAGCCGCTTAGCTCACACAATATGTAAAGAATGAGAGACAAAGGTTTTTCAACAACGTGAGTGGAAGTCTTTGGCAGTTAGAAAAAAAAAATAGAATATAAGACACATTCTTTCTGGAACTATTAAGAGACTTTTTTTTTGTAACCGTCAAGAGCCATTTGTTTTACTCTGTATATAGTAGGAATTCGCAAGAGTTCTACACTTTCGGAATTATTTGGGACACAGGAGATAATTTTTTTTAAAAGAGCAACATGCACAAAGAAATTTTATATAGAATCCTATGATGTATTACTACGAGCAAAGCAGCTCGGATGAGGCTGTTAAAATAGCTTTGAAGGGCGACGTAGTCTGGGTTGTCATACGCATCTTCTTGAGAGGACTGCCTAACTATGAACGTCAGCGTTGAGAAGAAATTGCTACCGTTCCATAATTTTGTCCGAGATATCCTGAGTAAATCGAGCAAAACCACTCCGGCTAATTCCTAAACGGGCAAGTTCTTCGTACTATGTCTGAGAACATGATTCCGAGGATTCATTTAGACAGTGGGAGTAGCCGAATATGATAGAAGAAAAACGATCGCAAAACGGCTGTCTAAATTAGTATCTAGTAACCAATCGATCTGGCCACCAAAACGCTTTTTACCGATTAAAATCACTCGCTAAGGTTAATAGGCTAGCTTTCAGCACACTTATCGATTTCAACAAAATAGGCTTGCAACAAATAATTCACATCTATTACCGGGACAACAAAAAACTATCGGCTATAAGAGTTCCACAGGAGTCGACTGTATGCCGCTTTGTCCTATTTGACGACTCGCTTAATGATACTATCTCCTGCGTTACGCCTTAGTAAAGATATGTTCATAACGTTTTTGAATCTTCCTTGTCCAAAGAGTTCACTCAGGTAATATGCTCGACTCCAATGTTTGGATCAGTTCTCTCTTCTTCCAAATAAGTTTTCGACCGCACAAAACAGAGCCACAGGGCTCAACGCAAAAAATGGTCCTTCCCTATTTTATCCTCCGTTCTCTTAATCGTGTATTTAGTATCAAAATGTTGATAGTGAACCGCCTGTCTTTGACCATGAGCATCATAGTAAACGGCAAGCGACTACGATGTAAGAGCGATAGAGGGTGGGAGTACTACTGCAAATGGTAGCATCTTGGCCTGACGTAATTATTCTATATGCCTGTTTTTCGTCAAAAGTGATAGCATAAACGAGATATGCAGTTGTCACAGCGGAGCAAAACGTGGTACAAAAATATGCAGTCCATACTGCCATATTTGAGAGAAATTTAGCTAAACGCAAAATGCCTCCGGCTTTTGCTTTTTTTTTTAACAAGAATTCTATATAGATTGACGGGTTTGCCTCTGATGACAAGACAACCAGAAACTAAACTTTTCATTTGATAATTAGAGAAACAATGTAGCTTCCATAATTTTAAACCAACGGTAACACTGTAATAACAGAAGGAAGACTTCTTGCTCGGGCCATTTTGCAACAACTTTTATATATAT